TTTCAAACATCTTTGCGAACATATGGATTGAAAAAATTAATAAAATATACAATTTTATAAATGAAATTAATATCAAGAGATCAATTTGGTATTCTGATTGTTATTCTCTTTAAACATAATGAACATATGTTTGTAATAATTTCGTATAACTTAATAATTATTATTTTATATGGTTTTTCAGATATCTCTGTGAGCATATAGATTGAAATAACTAATAAGATATACAATTTTAGAAATGAAATTAATACCAAAAGATCATTTTTTGGTATTCATCCCACGTATGACATTTTAATTGATTTTTAATCTCTGTAACATAAGAACATATATTTGTAATAATTTCCTATAGCTCATGAATTTCTCTACCCTAGAATTGTTATTTTGTATGACTTTTCAAATATCCCCACGAGCATATATATTGGAAAAACTAATAAGGCATACAATTTTAGGAATGAAGTAATACCAAGAGATCATTTTGGTATTCTCCCCGTACATGACATTCTAATTGATTGTTATTCTCTTAAACATAAGAACATATATTTTTAATAATTTGTATAAATTAAGAATTTTTCTACCTAAAATTATTACTTTGTATAGAAAGTATTGGTCCGTATGTAATGTTGAAAACAAAAGTGACTCGATTTTGTTTTCAGTGAAAATTAATACAACTATCATGGTATGGTTAATACAAAAATAAAATAAAATGTTATGATCGAATAGTCGTTTTATATTAATGACTTTTTTGAAACTAAATTATAGATATATCATTTATATGTTTAGCAAACTAAAAGATTCTAAACAATAATATGTGAAGCTAAACAATCATAAATGTTAGCAAAACATTTAAAAAATTTTGTTTAACAAATTGAAAGGAGCTAAACTCTAAGAGGAGAAATTTAATCATAGGATTTATAGACACACGATGAATATTTTAGCAAATTAAAAGGTTCTAAATATTAATATTCTAAACCTTTATAAATGTACGTAAAATATTTAAAACAATTAAATTATCTACCAAATTAATCTAAACCCTAACAAGGTAGTGTTAACCCTTGGGGAGTCCTAACACTCACGCATTGAATAAAACTACGGTTCAATTCAATTCGGTTATAGAAAATTTTGGTTTGTATGTAACGTTGCGAAAAGAAATAAAATTTTTAAATCAATTTTTCTTTTAGTGAAAATTATTACAACAACCATGGTATGGTTACTACAACAATAAAATAAAATATTATGATTTAATACTCGTTTTATAGTAATGATTTATTATTATCTTTTTCAACTTAAAGATATATCATTTCTAGTTTTAGTGAATCAAAATATTTAATTTTTTTGCAATGTTAGAGGAGCTAAACCCTAAAAGAGAGTTTTAACCCTAGAAAAGCCTTACCACTCACATATTGAATAAAACTACGATACAATTCAGTTAGCTATAGAACAAATTGATTCATATGCAACGTTTCAAAAAAACTAATATTTTAATTTGATTTGGTTTTTAGTGAAAATTACTGGTTAAATGACAACCACCATCTTTCTATCTCCATAATTTTTAGAAATATGATATTGATTAAATTCTTGAAGTTTTATAAATGTGGTATTTTTGTAGATAATATTTTAATTGATGAGATTTAAAAATATGTAGAGAAAGCTTTGATCAAATGTATGTGGAGACTTCGATGTAAAAATTTGCTATCTTCTACTAATGCTAGGACATGAGCTTATTATTCATGTCAAAATTAGGGTGCCATGTTGTATTACGCAAATTTTCATAACAAAATTATTTACACATTTGTGAGCATAAACTCTAAACCTTCACAAATGAACGCAAAATATGGAATGACATAAAATGTTGGTGGTATTGACTAAATATATTGATTTTAAGGGTTATAAACCTTTATATGAGAACCTAAAATCTCAGAAATGAACGCAAAATATGGAATAATCTAACTTGTTTGCATTGACTAAATATGTAAATTTTAAAGGGTTCTAAACTCTAATATGAGAGACTAAGTACCCACATTTATATATACAATATGAAACCATTTAAAACGGTTGATTTGACTAAATATATGGATTTAAGTGATAGTAAATCTTAGTATGAGAGCCTAAACAAATGAACACAAAGTATGAAATGATTTAAATTGTTCTTAATGACTAAATACGTAGTCAGATTGGAGTGCACTTGTGATTGGAGTATGCTCAGTAAAGGAGATAAATAAATTTATTACTTGTACGTATTTCAATAGATTCTAACAAACCAATTAAACCATGTAGAGAACAAATATAGTAAATCAAATTGAGAAAATCGAAATAAGGAATATGGAGAAGATAAAAGTGTTGTCGACGTAATGTCTGAGTGATCTAACTGCATAGTACATTACAACCAAGTATATACAAAGATAAATACTAATAAGTAGAGAAATGAATGGATTAAAAGACAAGACTTGAAGTTAATAATGGAAGTGAACTGAGAGAATACCTGTTTAAGCCATATGATCCGAGAAGCT